AACAGAGAGTCGCGAATAAAATCCATGTTTCGGTACCACTTTGAGGCAATGTGTAATTGTTTACTACCTCACCATATAAAAGAATCATGTAGTGCACTCCCGCTCAGCAAATCCATTCTTTATCTCAGAAGAAGGCGTGCAGGCATCAGCCGGCAAAGCCGGCTGGTAATGAGATATATTGAAGACGTATCATGATTATGATGCGTGAGTAGAAGGTTCGTAGGAATCAAGTAAGAAAGCAATCATAAAATGATAGAAGAAGCCGGAAACAGCAAGAAACGCACTCCTTGCAGCGAAACCTCGCAATATGCCGAACAATGGTATTTTGTTACAAATAAGAACTTATCTATTCATGAGAACCTGAAGAAGTTGAAACAAATTAGGTGCAAGCAACTCATTCGACCATTTGCTGGCTGGTGCGGCTAACCGTACGATGATAACCTTAAGCGCTTAGCCGGCCAGAGAACGCCCTTTGCTGCGAAAGGCCCCAGAGCAGCGCAGCACCTGACCACTGACACAACTTGTTTCTCTACTAGTTCTACTTTATTATAATAGCACCAGCTTCCAGAACATGCCCCCAGGCACTCAGCTTGAGACGATTCACTGGTAACAGAATTGAGGTACTCGAAAGATGGTGAGTGCATGCGACTCGTATATGACAGAGTACCAGCATTGCATATGAGTTGAGTGAGTGCTTAAAAGTAGCGAGAACAAGTGATATTCCGAAGGCTCATTGCCGCGCACCCTTTTTATAAACTCTCCCAGATCGACTTGGAGATCGCTTTAAGTGATCTACTATGAGTCGAACTCGGCTGATTCAACAGGAAAAGAATCAACAATGAGATTTAAATCAGCATGTGATTGGAAAAACGCATAACACAAAACATAGACATAGCAATATAACATTACAAGTTTAGCATATCATACCCTTTGCTTGCAGTCGCTTTCGCGGTCCTTTCGTGCTAGCGGAGCTCGATGCAAAAAATCAGTGTTTTGTACAGTACTTATGAAATAAATGGTGCACATTACTATTGGTCTCGGTAGCCCGCGAGTTAGCAAATGGCAAAAATGTATGAAGGATTAGCCTTTCAAGAGCCTACTAATTAGTCGAATTATCAAGGCTTGTAAGGGAGATGAACGAAAAAAAATCAGCAGAGGCTTACTGCAGAGTTGCAGTCCAATGAGGACGAAATAAAAGACAGAGATTCCTCTGCCTGAAGCACGATTTCATAAAGGCTGCAGTCCAGCCCAGAGGAGATCCAACCTAGGATACGATATGGCGCTCGAAAATTGAAGGGCCTGTGCATAGTGGTCGTAAAACCTGAAATGAGCTGCCAAAGCTAACCAAATGAAACTTTTTGAGTTTACTTCAAACAATGCACCCTTTAAAGAGATTTGAAGGAGCGGAAGTGGGGAGCTCACATTTAACGTCATGTAAGTTGCTATTACATTTCGCTTCTTCTCCCAAAAACGTCGTTGGGATCCTTATCAAATCCTATTGCAGTATTTAGAAGCACGATTCGTGACTACAAGTCTCAGTAGAGGTTCAAATAACGAAAAGTGTTCGAAACTGAGCTGCAGGAGGAGGCAAAAGAAGAGAAACGTCTAGGCCAATGGCGGCAGAGGACATTCTATTAAGTTGGGTAGAAGGTTTTGTAACGTTGCGATTACTTCCTTTTTTATTTGCTAGCTCAACATAAAATAGAAATTTATAAACAATAGAAGAGACGCAGTGCTCCACCTTAATGGCAAGTGCTTTATCCGTTTAATAGAGGCAGAGCAAGCGGATCGAGGTTTAATCTCGAGTGAGTTCATAACTCACAGTGCGCAAAAATGCAGTGAATGATATGTATAGAAGAAGAGCGGTACTGAAGGCGGATCTATGCACAGGCGAGCCTTCGCTGGCAGTACAACATGGAGAAGACTACAACTCCTCAAATCGAAGTGTGCGCGAAACGAAACGCGAAAGTTTGCCATTTTTTTTGTCACCATATCTCCGTAAGGCGTACTCTGTAGGCATTAGACTGCAACTGCAATTCTGAATGGAAGTACAACTCACGCCGCGTCCCAAAAAGAAACTGATCAATGACAAGAAGTTCGTCCTTTGTACTATGTTGTAAAGGGGGTAAGTGTAAGCTGCTAATAACAGCTATCAGAACAATACGTAGAAAGGGCTCCTTGAAATGTGCTAGCAAAGAGGTTACCGAAATACAATTGAACACTGTGTCACTAGCCTACAATAACTTTCGCTTGAGCAACACTGTTGCTAGGCAATACTAACAATACAACATAGTACGTTTCGGCTATGGAATCGACTACGAAACTCGTCCGATTTGTCATCGATGAGGGCAGTTTTTGCCAACCCTTGCTGAAATTTTCAAAAAAAATTTCTGGAGCCAACAGTTCTGTAGGAATCACATAAGGGTTGGGTCCCTCCTGATGGATGAGGTATAAACCTCCATGTGCTGATGAGTCCATTCTTGGCATACATTACAAGCAGGTTTCGAATGAGATTGGGATTAGATTTTGAGATCTAGAATAGAAAATACCAAGTTGGGAACAGCTGATGATAAATCGATGTTGTTGTCCTCCCAGGACCTGGTACCAATTAAGCTAGCATAGGAAAGGTGTATATGCTCTGAGCCACTCCCACCTTCATCCTCTTTACTGTGAGCGTGACAAGCGGCGCCACTTGCCTTTACAGCTCCGCCATCATGGTTCTCATCATCACGCTCTGTGGTCACGTTAGGGTTCCCGTTAGCTAGGGGCTCACATCTATTTTTTTAAGCATAGCCTACCCAGAATACAGGACAGGGTACCTATGCACCAATACGCGACGAACGTCACACAGCGGCCACTGGCACCGCTAGCGCATTCATCTGGGGCCAAAACCCCCTAAAGCTGATAATGCCTTTTTTCGTCAGATAGTTGCCACAATTCATTGCACACTGCAAATACTCATCCAAAGGCTATTCGGATTAGAAACGACGCAAGTCACGAAAAGGCGATCAGGTCGGTTAGATTTGGTTTTCAGGCGACTAAAAATTTTTCCCTGGAAATCTTCGGTGCAAACGTCACATGGACTGCTTATTTTCAGGAAACACTTAATTTTTGGGAAGGTGGGCCTCTCAGGGCGACAAAGCACATACATTATACACATTATTTGGGCTAATAGCATCCCCTGAAATGCATAGATTTGGACAATATAAAGGATTAGAATTACTTTGTTTGACATGTTCATCGTCCCCGAGATATACCGCTTGCGAGTTGACAGTGATCTGACCTATCGGAAGATCTGCATAACTCCCGCCTTTAAAAACACATGGTATGCTCGAACACATTGAGGGTGTGAGAGACATCAGCCCCCCACCTGTCGATGTGTCGTGGTTCCCCCGCCCAAAAC